GGGTGTTGCTCCCTTCCGCCCTCCTCCCTCTGGAAAGAAAGATGGCGGCCACATGGGAGCCTTGTGGACAGCAGGTATGAGCCGGGGGTGTGGGGGCGACTGAAACTTCATGGGAAGGGGGGCGTTCCGGTCCGTCCTTCGCGCCCTACCGAGGTCACCAGTTGCCCCCCATGAGCGGCTCTCCAGCACAGCCACGGCCCCAGAAGCACAAGGACTTAATGCAGAACCCAGCAGCTTGGAGCAGAAAAGTGAACGGACTATGCATTGATCCAGGCCATCAAGTCTGCCGGAGGGGAAAGGGTGTTGCCCCATTCGCCCTCTCCTCTCTGGAAAGAAAGATGGCGGCCACATGGGAGCCTTGTGGACAGCAGGTATGAGACGGGGGAGTGGGGGCGACTAAAACCTCATGGGTCGGGGGGCGTTCCGGTCCGTCCTTCATGCCCTACCGAGGTCACCAGTTGCCCCCCACGGGCGGCTCTCCAGCACGGCCATGGCCCCAGAAGCACAAGGACTTAATGCAGAACCCAGCAGCTTGGAGCAGAAAAGTGAATGGACTATGCGTTGATCCAGCCCATCAAGTCTGCCGGAGGGGAAAGGGTGTTGCCCCATTCGCCCTCTCCTCTCTGGAAAGAAAGATGGCGGCCACATGGGAGCCTTGTGGACAGCAGGTATGAGCCGGGAGTGTGGGGGCGACTAAAACCTCATGGGAAGGGGGGCGTTTCGCTCCGCCCTTCACGCCCTACCGAGGCCACCAGTTGCCCCCCACGAGCGGCTCTCCAGCACGGCCATGACTCCAGAACACAGAAACCAATTTCTTAACTATCTGACTTTCAGTAGAAATACTTCCAGGGTCAATAAGTAAAATAGCAGAAATCCAAAACCAACATTTAATTCTTGAACCCAGCTGGAGAAAGCAAATCACTTCACAATGCTTTTTCAGCATGTCTGATTTGGGGGGGGGGGGGTAAACTCTAAATAATAGTGGTGAATCTTTTATTGAAACAATCTAATCAAAGCGGATAGAGTGTTAACTAGAATTCATCTGCCTCACAGGGACGGGGAGGGGTGGGGGGTGGGGTTTTATTGGGGTTCTTCATGGGAAAGGATAAGTATTGGTAAAGGGAAATGTGTTTGATATTTGCATGACTGAGACATAAACCTGAAAGCTTTGTGACCTTTCCCACAGTGATTCAATAAATAAATAAATAAAAAATAAAAAAAAAAATTAAAAAAAAAAATTTTTATTAGTGAAACACCATGAGGTACAGTTATAGACTTACAAATTTTTGTGCTTGGGTTTCACTTATACAATGATCAAGTACTTATCCCTCCACCAGTGCCCATCCTCCACCACCATGGGTCCCAGCATCCCTCCCACCCCCCATCCCCCCATCCGATCCTGCCTCTGTGGCAGGGCATTCCCCCTTGTTCTCTCTCTTCTTTTGGGTCCTGTGTTTTGCAAGAGAGGCATTGAGTGGCAATCATGTTTGGTCTATAGTCTACTTTCAGCATGCTTCTCCCACCCTGGGAGTATCCTCACAACACCCTTTATTTGGTGCTCACTTCTCAATCTGAGCTTCCTTTTCACCTAGCACATATGGCTGGCCTCCAAGTCATGGAGCAAAATTCCTGGTACTAATCTCAGCCACTCCTGGGTGTTAGTCCCATTTTGTTGCGTTCTATTCCCCAGATGAATGCAATCTTTCTGTGTTTATCCTGCTCTTTCTGACTCATTTCGCTTAACATGATACTTTCCATGTAGTACCACTTGTATGTAAATTCCTTGACTTCATCTTTTTAACAGCTACATAGTACTCCATTGTGTAGATGTACCAAAGTTCCTTTAACTAGTCATCTGTTCTTGGGCACTCAGGTTTTGTCCAGATTCTGGCTATTGTAAAGAGTGCTTCAATGAACAAACAAGTGCAGATGTCACTTTGACTATATTTTTTGCCTCTCTGGGATATATTCCCAGGAGTGGTATTGCTGGGTCAAATGGGAGATCAAATTCTAATTTTTTGAGAATCATCCATACTGTTTTCCAAAAGGGTTGGACCAGTCGGCATTCCCACCAGCAGTGAAGGAAGGTCCCTTTCTTGCCACATCCATGCCAGCACTGGTTGCTTTTGTTCTTGTGGATGTGGGCCAGTCTCTCTGGTGTGAAATGATATCTCATTGTTGTTTTGATCTGCATCTCCCTGATGATTAATGATGTAGAGCATTTTCTCATGTGCCTTTTTGCCATTCGGATTTCTTCTTTGCGAAAGTTTCTGTTTATTTCCTCACCCCATTTTTTGATGGGGTTGGGTGCTTTCTTCTTGTGGAGTTCAAGTTGGCAAAACCCTCCATAATATTGAAGCTAATGGTATCTTCAGAGATGTCACGCCACTGGCCAAGCAAGTGAAAACAGAGATAGACAAGTGGGACTATCTTTAACAAAGAAGCTTCTGCACCTCAAAAGAAACAGTGACCAAAATATAAAGACAGTCTACAGAATGGGAAAGGATATTCGCCAAATACACATCCGACAAGGGGTTGATATCAAGGATATATTAAATGTGACTGTTAAGTAGTATATAATTTGTTTCATTAGCAAGAAAATGTGAATTTAGTTTTTTGTTTATTTGTTTGCTTGTTTGTGGGCAATACCTGATGGTGCTCAGAGATTACTCCTGGCTATACATTCAGGAATTACTCCTGGTGGGTTTGGGGGACCATATAGGATGCTGGAGATTAAACCTAGGTTGGCCACATGCAAGGTGCTATACTATTTGCTGTACTGTACTATCCACAGTGACCTACCCACTGTACTCTTGACCCTTAAATAAAGTTTATGAATGGTATTTTTAGATATCAACTGAAACACTAATTGTAACATTTCACTATGATCACAAATCATTTTTAAAGGCTACATTCGGTGGACATACTATAAATATTATAACATCTGTTGGCATGTTTACTTCATGATTTTTTTAATTTCCTACTTGCAATCCAATATATGTATCATTTAATAGAAGACAGTTATTTTCTAAAATATTCCTCAAATGCGGAATGCGATTTGGAGATGACCGCTGGACTAGAGCTGTTACTGACTGGATTCGGACGTCAAAAGATCGCGTGGCCGCCCACCTGTGAGATGGTCAGACTTCTTCGTCAAGTCCCTGAATGATCAGTTTGAGGCTCTTCATGTTCCTGGAGCAAGCAGGCGCCAGTGGGCTACACTAGCACTCGACAGGGGCAAATGGAGATATTACTGGCGCCCACTCAAGCAAATCGATGAGTAACAGGATGTCAAGTGATCAAGTGATCCCTCAAATAAGTGTAATAGGTGGCGCAAATTATTGCTACAACAATCTTTATATGTCACCACTTAGTGTATCATGTTCTCTGTAGACTTTTGAGACATTTAAAACTACACCTGAAATTGAATCATGAGTCAGTCTTTTTCATATTTCAAGTTCTGCTGAACCTGGGTTCCTCAAAACCAAATGTACTCAACTCTAGTGCAGCTTGAGACTTCTATATTAGTACCACAGATAGTCTAGTCTATTCTGAATCTATATCCCTATACAAGAGAGGGTTTTTGAGGACACAATTTTCTGAAACAATACCATTTCTTAAATATTCTTACTTGTTAAAATTCTCGGAATATCACTACCATAAGATATTTGTTTGAGCTATTTCTTCTTTCAAATAATACATTTGTAGCAGTCTGTATTAACTATTACTATTGGCTATGATCCAGTGATATTTCACTTCTGGCTACTATGACAACTGTCCACTGTCCTCCCGTTGTTTATTGATTTGCTCGAGCGGGCACTAGTAACATCTCCATTGAGAGATTTATTGTTACTGTTTTTGGCATATCGAATACTCCACGGGGAGCTTGCCAGGCTCTGCCATGTAGGCGGGATACTCTCGGTAGCTTGCCAGGTTCTCCAAGAGGGATGGAGGAATCAAACCCAGGTCAGCCGCGTGCAAAGCAAATGACCTACCTGCTATGCTATTGCTCTAGCTATGCTATCATTCCATCCTATGGCAACTGTGACAACACAAGACAAATCACACTCACAAATTTCTCTACTCTTTAAAGAAGTATTTTCAGGATAGAGACCCTCAGTACAGAGCCAGGAGTAACCCCTTAGCACTACCAGGTAGTCCAAAAACTAACAAAAAATTTCAAAAGGTGATGTTATACATAAAAAAAAGTGTCATAACAGCAGCTGGGATTTCATCTCCTCTTTAAATTATCACACTAATCATTTTGTACTATGGCTCTGTAATTTTAACGTCATAATTTTTCTTAGAACTTTATTTTAAAAAGTTGTTTTGCTTAAATTATTTATTACAGTTATCTTAAAGTCTGAATGAGTTAATGTTATAGTTTTCTTCAAAAAGTTTTTAAATGGGGCGTAGGGCATTTACCTTGCATTTGGCTGATCTAGGTTTGATTCCCAGAACCCCATATGATCCCCAAGCACTGCCAGAAGTAATTTCTGAGTAGAGCCAGGAGTAATGCCTGAGTATTGCCAGGTATGGCCCAAGAACAAACAAAATTTTTTTTAAATACACCTTATTTTTGTGATCATCATCAATCATGTTGAAGATTTTTATTGCTTTTCTTGGATTTTGTATTTCTTGTGGATTTCTTTCTTGTGAAAAATAGAAAGTTATTGAAATTATCTAGTGTTTTCTGATTAATAAAATGGAATGCCTTAACTTCTTATCAAGAATGTTTTTTTAATCGAATTACAGATATTAAGTGAATAAAATGTTTGCAAATGGCTAGAAACTGACTACATTCTTAAAGATTGATATTCTATCTGGACAAAATTACATATAGTATGTTCATTCAATCTATATTTGATGTGATATTTGTGTGTTCTATTCTTCCTATGAATTTGTCTATCACTATAATGCATTGTGATTTTTATTTATAATCATTTATTTTTGATAATATATCCTTCAACAAAACATTTAAGAATATTTTCTTTTTTAAGGAAAAATAAAGAGATCAACAGATTGAAAAATGTTTTGAGAGGCATAACATCTTCAGGAAGATACCGGAGTTCATGAGATTTCAAGGTTAGCAGTTCATATGCTATTATAATACTTTTATATATCTGTTATAAATTATAACTCTTTCATACTGTTGCTATTGCCAATGTGTAATTTGAAGATAGGTAAGAAAAATGTTCCTACTGAAAGTACATATTTTAGCAAGATTTCAAAATTTTAAAATATTTAATTATACCAGAAATCTAATTTTTTAATTTAATCGGAAAAGGTAAAGTGCAAATATTGTTTAACTGGCATCTATGTTTCCTGGTTATCAATATTTTATTTAATTCTTATGGGGTGTATTAGGGGCTCATAAGTAAATCTCAGAGAGTCTATGGGCCACTGCCAGCACTTCTCAGCTTGACTATATATAGAGAGACAGTTCAGTGCAAGAGACAACCAGGTGGTGGAATTTGTGTCCAGTGTTGGTGAGGGGTCTCCTGGCCACACTCAGTGATGCTTAGGGACTGTTTGTTACATCTGGTTGGGCTATGGAGTCATACAGTAGCATGAACTGAATTCAGGGCCCAGAACATGCACAGAACAATCACCAGTCCTTTGAAATTTTTCCCTGGTCATTTCTTCATTCCTTTAAAGAATTCATATAAATAGCATTAATATAAAAACAAATTAATAATAGTCATCCCTATATAGGTTCACTTTTATTTATTGAGGTATAAGTATATAACTATTTGCAATTTTTAAAATGTCCTTCTTCTCTCTGGGTACAATATACATATATAGTTTAAAAAATAGATAATTGGCAATTCTAAAATTCTTTAAATACCATTTTCTGGGACTAGAGGGAAGTATAGTTGGTAAAGTGCTTGCCTTGTATGCTGCCAACCTGAGTACAATTCCAGGCACCCCATATGTTCCCCTGAGTCCCACCAGGGGTGATCCCTGAGACCAGAGCAAGAAGTAAGTCCTGAGCACTGCTAGATGTGACCCCCCCAAAAAAATAAACAAAATTCTCTGACTTAAGTGTAGTTAAAACTTATGCTTTAGCTGAAGATTGCTCCCAGCACTGCTTGTGGACTGTTGCAGGCAAGGCAAATTACTTAATTCCTGTACTATCTCTCTAGCTCTATTTGCAACATTCTTCAAAAAATTATTGAAAGTTTTAAATTTGGACAAGTAAAGAACAATACACTTCCCTATTGTTACATAATTCACTATAAAAAAAACTAATATTTGAATTACCAGATACATTTACATGAGCAATTCTGATAGAATAGCTTGAGAAAGTGAACAATTCTGACTTCTACTTTTGTAGCACAACATCACTTTTTCATTCTAGTAAAAGAAAATACATAAACGATAAAAGCAGAATTAATTTCTGTTATGTAATTTATGTTATATTAGAAATGATAAGATACTATAAAGAAAAAGAATGAGAAAGGGCATAAGGAAGGGTAAATATTTTTATTTAATTTTATCAAATAAATATAGGTTAAGTTTCATGCTTATGAAGTATTAGTGTTTATGGATTTTGTGTACACAATTACCACCAAAGGATCCAGGTCTTTCCATTAATGACTTTATGTAACTTCAAGTCTACTTCTTCATTCCCTGCTACATACTCTCTATAATCCTTTCTTGGTTTTCTCAGTTTTGTAAACCAGGATCAAGGGTTCAATTTGACACTCTATTCCACTGTTTTGTTTCTCTATATATGTGGTGGAATTTTTATGGTGCTAACCAAAAGCAACTGTGATGACTATCAACTTCTGGCAAGTTTTCAATGTCATCATTTATTAAGGTAATGTTGTTCACATATATAAATAGCTAATATGTAACATTATTAAATTCACCAGAAATAAAATTTTTAAATGATAATGCAGTTAGTAAAAGAACATTAAATATTCTCCCAAGCTTTGAAAGCAAAACAAACAAAAAATAAATGCAATTCTCTGACTTAAGTGTAGTTAAAAGTTATGCCTAACACGAGTTCAGTGGGTTTGGCACTTGCCTGGCATGCAAACTGACCTGGGTTCAATTACCAGCATGCCATATTGTTACTTGAACACCATCAGGAGTAATTCCTGAGTGCAGAGCCAGGAGTAACTCCTGAGCATAGCTGGGTAAAGGTAAAGGTAAAGGCCCTCCCGTTGATCGTCGATTTGCTCGAGCGGGCCCAGTAACGTCTCCATTGGAGACTTTGTTGTTACTGTGTCTGGCATATCGGATACTCTCGGTAGCTTGCCGGGATCTCCGAGAGGAGCGGAGGAATCGAACTCGGGTCGGCCATGTTGGCCACTTGTAAGGCGAACGCCCTACCCGCTGTGCTATCGCTCCAGCCCGGTATGACCCCAAAATGAGTAAGTGTGTACTTCAAATTTTATAACAAATAAATTTACAATGGATATGAATTAGTCTAGTAACTTATTTAAAGAAAACTGGCTATACTACTCTCTATGTAGATCCTAGTCAATGTATTCAATCTCCATAATAAGTCATATGGATACTACATGGCTCTATGAATAATAGACCATTGTTTAATTTTCTCTTTGTTGTCTTACCACATATATTATCGTTTCAGGAAATCACAAGTATAGAGATTGAAGATTTTGGAAACCATATTATTCACACTGTAAACTAATTTATTAAAGAATATATATCTTATTTTGGACATTTTTATATTAGACAGTATGTGAATAGTTGGTAATATAAATAAACATATGAGCAAAAATGGATCATGAATATTATTTTGGGAGGTAATTTGATTTAAATTTTCTTATTACATAGTAAAGGCTGAGCATATCTGGAGGTTTTACAGCCTAAATAATCCTAATCAAGTTTAGTAAAACATCTAAACTACAGATGAATTCATTGTATAAATTTACATTAACTTAAAGTCATTCAATATTGATTTTACTGAAAAAATAGAAAATTCTGCAAACTAAAACAAATCCTTGGATTCTGATTATAGGACAGATGTTACTTATAGGGTTAGGGAGTAAGATTATCAATCTCAGGGAGAGGACAGTGGACTGTGGTGGAGTTAATATGGAACTAGGTGGGATGTGGTGTGGTTCATTTGAAGAGCTGTGAGTTGATCCCCTACAATATATACAAAACTATAAACCAACAGCACCCCAATATGCAAAAATCAATAATTGAGAAATTTAGTTAATTCATTATGTTGCAGAGGTATTTATATAAATTACTTTTCATTGTTAATAACCCAATGTAAAAGGTTGCCCAACCTTCCAAATAACAAACAAAGTTTGGACTGGACAGTTTGAAACACTATAATTTATAACCTATTTAGTCTCCCAAAGTCATGTATTTTATTTTTCCTTACCAGAGAGTTATGTCTCTTGAACACCAGTAACATCCAAATCATGGTGGAAGATTCATATTTTATGTTTACATAATTATAGAATTTGAGTTTTTATGTCCCCTGATTTGTCTACCACTCTCTACCTCTACATTCTCCTCAGGTAACCTGTGTTCTAGTAATAATGTTTACTTGTTTGTCTTTTCTAAGTTTTCTGCTTGTAATTATATATACTTAGATTACAAATAAAGGTAAAATCATCCAATGCTTGCTTCTTACTTATTTTGCTTTATGTAATTCCCTTGAGCTCTTTCAATTTTGTTAGAAATGGCAAATTTTCATCTTTTTTGCATGTCAGTGTATAGATGTAACAATTCTTTATCCAATAATTGATCAAAGAACATTTTGTTTTCTTTCATATTTTGTCTACTATAAATAAAAAAAGACAGAAATTGTAAATGATATAATATTTCATCAAAAGAAAATATTTTTTAAAATTGGAGTTGTAAAGGAAGTAAAAAATAATATTATTCTCAGCTATTTTATCTTAATTAAAACAAAGCAGATAATATCTTTTATATGTTGTATTGCAGAATGAAGAGATGCTCAGTAGTATTATATTCAGTCAATCTGTATAGTCTGCTTTGAGAAAACCAAAAGTAAAGAACAAACTAGAAGTGCAGAAGACTGGAAAAAGTTATGGGGAAAATAAGAACTTCTGATATGATAGCACTGTTATTTAAGGGTAACTTACATGGAATTTCAAAAAACAAGTAACAGTTTATACTTTTCTCTATATTCTCTTCCTTTCGTGCTAGAGCGATAGCACAGCGGTAGGGCATTTGCCTTGCACGCAGCCAATATGGGACCCGAGTTCGATTCCTCCGCCCCTCTCGGAGAGCCTGGCAAGCTACCGAGAGTATCTCACCTGCACAGCAGAGCCTGGCAAGCTACCCGTGACATATTCAATATGCTAAATACAGTAAGCACTAGTCTCACGATGGAGACGTTACTGGGCCTGCTCAAGCAAATCGATGAACAATGGGAGGACCGTGACCGTGACCTCTTCCTTTCAAACCCTTAATATTTGCTTTACAAAAGATAAAACTAGGAATTATTTGCAAATTTGACTACAAATCCAGTTGTCTTTGAAATCAGGAATAATAATTTGGGTCTAAATAATGATTCTCCATTATCCCACAAATTACCACATTCAAATATTCGTCTTTGACTCTCACATCATTTACATACTCAGAGTCATTGGCTTTGGGTAATTTATCCATCTCTTATGATTTAATGACTCGCTATGATTTTCTACAATTCTTATTCAACCCTCATTTCTATAAGTAATTTATCTAATCTCAGAACTCTTGACATTTTGAGCCAGATAATTTCATGTTGTGGGAGCTATTGCATGCCTTGAAAGTGTTTAGCAGTATCTTTGTCATCAGATACAGGTAGTATCCCACTTCCTAGTTGTGAAAATACAAAATGTCTTCAGAGTAAAACTACTTAGGAGCCAGAGAAAGCAGAGGGAGTAACCTGGCTAACAGTGGTGTGATCCCCAGCACTGCAGACAGTTTCCAGAGAACCTCAGCTCCACCAGATGTGACCTGAAAAATAAACAAAATATGGAGGAAGAGGAAGAGTGATCTCACTTTTACTTCAAAGACCTCAATAAAGCTTTGTGAGTATCACTTACAAGCCCTGAAGACCTCCAGCATCTTGTTATCAATTAAAA